TTCGATCTAGTAGTACTATTTCTCATTATTTGCTCATTCGATACTTTCCAGTAATTTGTCAGAACATTTCAGAACACAAGATTTCTGTTTTAGGTCTTGTAAGAGTTTTGAGGTGCTTTTAGATATTCATTGTTGCATTTTTTTTTTTTTTTTTGTTTGTTTGTTCATTATACTTGTGGAATAGGCCTATATTTAGAGGCCTTAAAAGGTTTATGATGAAGGGTGGCAAACTTGAAGGTTAGTTTTACAAGGAACTGGGAATACGAGCTGATTTTATCCATATGTATTTGTACTATTTCTCTCAATCCTCCCAGTGAACCTTGGTTGTATTAGGCCTTGTTGTTTAGCCAAATTTATGATTTTAATTTTGTATAGATGGATAATCTGATCTCTTTTTTTTCAGCACTTTCTTGTAGGGATGTTTTGACATTGTCTCACTACATGGGTCATTCACCCCCACAGAGGTTGAGGGATCCAGATTTAGTAGGGCTGGTTCCTTGACCATATCTTTGGCAGGCCCTGACGGCCGTCTCTTAACGGGTGTACTTAGAGGACTACTTGTAGTTGCCAGTCCTGTCCAGGTAAGTTCTTTTTTCTTTCTAGAAAGGGAAAAGACAAGGCTACAAACCTGGCTGCTTCTCCCTCTTTCTATTTTTATAAATATAGATGTAGATATATTTTCTTTTTTCTTTTCCATTGGGGAGTTAGAATGGAGGGGTTGACTTTATTCTATTCAGATTATTTGGTTAATGAACGTGGCTATGGATTATATTCCTAACCAAATATTAGATAGCTGGATGTCTTCAAAATCATCTTTGGCGGCTGAATGATTTTACTCTCTTTAAGTACTCTCGAGTGACATTGGATGGAAATTCCTTACTTGTGTAATGAACCATGGTTCATCGCTTTACTGACCCTTTTCTTTTTATTTCAGTTGATCCTCTAATTCAGAAACTTACGCGCCTCTCTATGGGCAGTTTTTTGAAGTAAAATAATCTGGAGATAATGCATCCTTTTTCGCTATAGCTCCACCACAGAACCTTTTATTTCTACTTTCATTTTCGTTTTCAGATACGATGACAATTCAGCTCACATATATGGAAGAGGAGGGAAAAATAGTGCAGATGGTGGGAAATGGGGAACCATAATATAATCCACAATCCATAAACAATGGAACTCAATGATGTCCCCAAGGCCTTTTTGACAACTTGCACAAAAGTGCTTACTAAGAAAACATCTGAAACTGAAATGCAACAATTGTAGAAGGAAAAGTGAACATAATCATTTTCAATTGTTATGGTTTGGGAACAAAGACACAGCCAAAATCCACCAGGCCATTAGCCTAGGTGGTATAAGCATACCCTCTCCTCCCTAATATGGGGGTGTTTGACATGTGAGTTCTTACCTAACCAAAAGAAAAAAGAAAAAGAAAAAGTGCCACACATGCTTTATCAGATCTCAACAGGAAAAGGAGAAACATATAATTCAACCATTGTGCCTTGGCTCAAGTGGCGAAAGCATGGGTTACTAGTATAGATTAAGATACGCCCTAAGTTCAAAGATTGCTTAACCAAAGCCAACATAAAGAACATAAATTAGACGAAAAACACAAGAACAAATGTTTACTACTGAATAGCAAAATCATAAAGAAAACACCAGTTGTCAGTACATACTGTGAAGGAATTGCAAGTGCAACTAGAATTACTAGAGGGGGCGACTTCAAACAAATTCCAAGAGAGTTCTTCCACACCACAAGTATTTTTCCAATTATTTTTTAACATTTAGGTGTGTATGATTTAAATCAAGCAAAACTCCTCTAATTCAGAAACTTACGCGCCTCTTTATTGAAGCACACCTAGTGGGCTTTTTCTTAGGAAGCTAAGGGTTGAAATGTGTATAAAAAGGTGAGTATGCAGCACTCCAGTCAAATTTTCATCTGGGCGATCGAATTGGACCAGGTATTTTACTGATTTTATTTGTTACACATAGTGGGCAAAATTGTGGACATGTGGCCGACTACAAGACTGTCATGTGGATAACTAAGTTGCTATATTAGTGGAGTCAACCCTAACTCTAATGTGGAAGTTGGTTCAAGTGGGTTGTAAGTGATGGACTGTTACAAGGGACATATTTAAAACCCACCACTCCTAATGGTTCGGAAACTTGATCATCTAGGTAAGAGCCACATATATAAAACCCCAACATTCAATTTGCAGAACAAATGTATACGATATGAAACTTAAAAAAAAAAATTGAATATTCATTTTTCATTTTAATATGATGTTAAAGCTACATATAAAGTTATTAATATGATGTTAAAGCTACATATATAGTTGCTACAACCACCATAGTTTTACTTCAAAGAACAATTACATGTAGTAATTCACAATTAATTGCAGAAGCCTTACATCTCTTTCTATTCACTGTGGAGATAAGACTTCTCACAGTACTCAACAGCAGAATAAAGTTGAGGCCTTAAGTTCTTCAGTCCTGGAAGTTAAAAATTATGGTTCAGATTGGAATTAGTGCAACAATTCACCATCAAACTGCATACTTCTCATACAAGAGAAATATTAAGGAAAATGCAGGGCAACAAAACATATGTGAGCGCGAGCATTGTACAATCAAGAATAAGAATAGATTCCAACAACTTAATTGGTCAAATTGCAAAGGGTAGAGTTACATTGCATTGGAATAAAATACTGAAATTTGAAGATGCAAAATGATTTTTTTTTTCTTGCCATATATTTCAAAAAGATGCTTCATAATATTAATAATATCCAACTTTATAGATTGCACTAAAATTAGCAGCTTGTTATAGTACCTATCATGTGGTTTTGCTATTGTAACCTTTTCTCCTGGTTTATGCAAAAAAAGAGTGACAAACTCATTTTTTTTAAGTTAAAAGTTGGTGAATTTAACAAATATTATCATCCATGCAACATTAATATCTTAGAACCAAAATATCCAATTAACTATAGCTTTGTAAAGGAACTTGGGAATTGATAGCTAAAGGTCCAAAAAACCTAAGAACTTTTTTGTTCTCTTTGTGTCTATTTTTAAGCTCTAAGTTGGTTCAAGTGGTTGTAAGTGATGGACTGTTATAAAGGACACATGACCGACGACAGAATTGTCAGGTGCAGGAAATTTTCTGTTCTCTTTGAGTCTATTTTTAAGCTCTAAATCGGTCAATCAATGGAAAACAAAAAAAAAAAAAAAAAACCCAAATCTAGTCACAACCAAAACAAATCTAGCAAATAAAATCAACAATAAACCATAGAAAACAAAATATGCATGTGTTAGCCCTAAAAATTGTTTAAGAAATAGGAATTGAAGAAAACCCTTAAAATGTTTGAGAAAGAGGGATTGTAGATTACCTGAAGAATGAAGGTAACTCCGGATCCTCGGTTCTAGAGAGTAAAGAGAGGATTGAACAAATAGCTGTGTTGGTCTAGGTAAAAATTCAAGCGAACCAGAACTTTCCTTTCACTGTCAAACCAGAACTTCAAGCGGAGATGGAGATAGATAGGAGAGAGAACTTCAAGCGAGGCAAAGAACTTCAAGCGAGGCAGAGATTTGAGATAGAACTTCAAGCGAGGCAGAGATTCGAGATAGAACTTCAAGCGAGGCAGAGAAAGGAGAGAGAACTTTAAGCGAGGCAGAGATAGGAGAGAGAACTTCAAGCGGAGATAGGGTAAATGATCCGGCCTCCTCAACAGAAATAACGGAAGAAAGAAAACTAGGGCAAAGATGGAGCTGGGTGTTGTCGGCAGAGTAAGCAACAAAGTGGACTCGTGGGAAAGAAAGAAGGGCTTGTGGGAAATAAAGAAGGGATTGGCTTATGGTTGGTGACGTGGAAAAAAAAGGGTGGGCTATTCACTGTAGCTATTTTGTGCGCGCGGGAGACGAAAAGAGGGGGCGGGATTTTTATTTTTTATTTTTATTTTCATATTCACGGGAGGAAAATTGTCCCTTAAAAATATATTTATCTACGAGAGGCCTTTTTCCCCGTTAAGTGAGGGCGGGATTTTTTTTTTTTTAATTTTTATTTTCATATTCACGGGTGGAAATTACTCTCTTAAAAATATTTATCTACGAGAGGCTTTTTCCCCGTTAAGTGAGGGCGGGATTTATATTTTTTATTTTTATTTTCATATTCACGGGAGGAAAATACTCCCTTAAAAATATTTATCTAGGAGTGGCTTTTTCCCCGTTAAGTGAGGACGGGATTTTTATTTTTTATTTTTATTTTCATATTCACGGGAGAAAAATACTCCCTTAAAAAATACTTATTTACGAGTGGCTTTTTTCCCGTTAAGTGAGAGCGGGATTTTTATTTATTATTTTTATTTTCATATTCACGGGAGGAAAATACTCCCTTAAAAATATTTATCTACGAGAGGCTTTTTCCTCGTTAAGTGAGGCCGGGATTTGTATTTTTTATTTTTATTTTCATATTCACAGGAGGAAAATACTCCCTTAAAATATATTTAATCTACGAGTTGCTTTTTCATTCGTAAATATATGTAAACATTAACGGGCCTCTTTAAACTCCCGTGAAAACGGTTTTTAATGAGGATTTTATTAACATCCCGTGAAAACATGACCCTTTATGTGTAAAAAGGGGCTTCTACGAGAGAAAATAAAAGATCCCGTAAATACTACGTCGTAAAAGCCCATTTTTCTTGTAGTGCTTGCTTGCTTGATGTTGAAATTTTGGAAGATTGCTTGGAAATGGTTGAAACATTGCATACTTGAGGTAGTTTTCTCCCAATGCTTGTTTGCAATATTGGTATCTCTTTTGTGATAATGAGCTTAATGTTTGTGGGTATCATTTCTAGAAACGCTCACGAAACTTCACTCGTCCACTAGGGGTAACCTAGGGGTTTAAAAGGCTTGTTGCATATGCTAAGTGCAATCGTGTTCCCTACGAAAGTGGCGTTATCCATTTTTTACTTTCTAGTTCATAATTGTATAGTTATTCATTTCATTTCTTTACTTTATAGTTCATTGCTAAGGTCTGGATCCAGGCTTCTTCGATAACATATAATCTCCAGCAACAAGATCCCAAAGCTAAACACATCTACTTTCACCGTTACAGGCAAATTCATGTGCCATTCAGGCGCGACATAACCCCTCGTTCCTCTCACTCCAGTATTAGTCCTGGTTTGGTTGAGGTTCATCAGCTTTGACAACCTAAAATCCGCAATTTTTGCACAATGCCTTTCATCCAGTAGGATGTTTTGAGGTTTTCTATCGCAGTGGATGATCTGAGTCTCGCACTCCTCGTGCAGATACAGAATGCCCCTAGCCACATTCACCGCAATTCTAACTCTTTCCTCCCATCTTGGCTTTGTTTCAGACTTGAAAAGGACATCTGCAAGTGACCCATTGCTCATGAACTCATACACCAGAAGCCTATTAGTTCCATCGTTACAATAACCAAGCAACTTTTCTAGGTTCTTGTGATGGGTTCTTCCAATTACTTTCATCTCATTTCGGAATTCTCTTTCGCCTTCAGCCACCACTGTCTCTAGTCTCTTAACGGCAACAACTCTCTTGCCGTTTGATATAAGCCCTTTAAACACTGTCCCTGTAGCTCCTTTCCCCAATTCTTCCGCAAAGCCATTGGTTGCTTGCTCAAGCTCACCATAAGTAAAAGACCGAAGAATAACGTCCTCAATCAATTCTTCATTCCCACGATTCAATTACTTTTTGTATCCCTTGACACGGTATTTGTAAATCAGAACGCCAGATATCGCTAGCACAGTAAAAGCAACAATTAGTACCGCAACACTAGCAATAAGAACTTTGAATTGCTTTTCTTTTTTGAATTCTCTGCCTCCTACTTTGACTAGTGTAATTACTGGATCATTCTGCAGTCTTCCGAATTTTAGTGGAAGCCTTTGTTTCATGCACTGGTCATCTTTATGGAGCACAACTTCACAGTCGTCATCTTTCAAACACTCGTCTTCGCAAGCAGTTCTGCTCGTGTTGCTAAGTATGGAATACGAATCATTGAACCAAACAACATTGTCTAACTGATAAAAATGAGGTGAAACATTCCCATTCCTAACATAATTTCTGTTGCAGCCCGAGTCCTTCTGGCTCTCGTCGATCAAAACATAACCAGGAGGACATGTACAAACAGCTTCTTGATTCATCAAGGTACAATATTGATTCTGGCAACACACCCCTTTAGGATCACACTTGTCGACGGAATTAGGTGACCACTCAACTTTCCAATCATCATCACTCCGATTCAAGCCGTATGAGTAAACCTTGAATATTCCATCTACGTCGAGTGTCATGCGGTACATCAGTTTATCAGAGACATTTCCTCCATCATACAGATTCTTCATATTGCCACTGGTGTTGAGCAAGTATAATTGGCCATTGTCATCAAGATTTAGTGTCAAATTGTTTTCGGCTATGTATATTCCAAAATCCCAGTAACCATATTTTACTGAATTCGGGCTATCTGCTGGATATTGCGCTAGGTATCCGTCCTCCTGCATTAAGATCCGAAACTTCCCAGTGGAGTGATAGTCCTTAGAGACGCTAGAGAACAACTCTTTCGGTTCTTCAAATTGGCGAAGCTTCTGACTGGGTAAAAGGGTGTCTGTTGGAGCGTCAAAGCTTTGCCATATGATCTCTGAATGTGAATTATAGAGAACAAAGTTGCCGGTGTCCAGCAT